GGTACAGGACTTTAACCTGGCTGCACCCGTGATATCGTTGTGTTTCCCCTTTATCCATCAGGTTTGAATGTCTTCTAAGAACTATGGTGCACAGAAACATGCTAACAGTAACAGACTTAGAGTATCAGGTAGACATACATGTTACATGTTACATCCATAACAAAACGCAACGAATATGGCCTGCCGCTACATGCCTACTCAGGTATCCTACCTATGTAACCAAGTGATGAAGAGTTCAGACACGAAGCTTATTAACTAATGTAAACATCAAACCGATTAAAGAAAACGAAATTAAAATCATATTTTTCTGACTAAGATATTACCACAGACAATACATATAGATTCCTACTCAAGAGTTATTCAGTTTCCATTCCCTTGAATCTTCTAATTTTTCTGTAGCCCTCGTGGTGTCCATAGTACTGGTAATATTAAATGTCTGAGGCAAAGGGAAAAAGCACGCTTAATACAAATTCATTCATCGATCCGTTGGCTACTTGATTTACCGACCCGATAGTCAGCCAGTCAGGTGTAATCGGCACCTTGATTAAGGCAGCGATAATACAAATCAGTTAGTCTGTAACCATACCCATTGGTCAGATGGAGAGTCTGCCAGACAGTCAGGCAGATAGTCAGCCCATCTGTCATTCAGCTACAGTTTAGCTAATTAATTTAGTCTCGCAGCGTACTGGCCAGCTACCCAGCTGGTCAGTTGACCAGACTGTCAATCAGTGCGCTGGTTTGAACAGGCAGGTATGAACTTATAACCATATGGAACGAGAGTACTCCTCGGTGCAGCCCATTAGCCACCCAGCAGTTTTTTTTTATTGTACGTCAGCTGGCCAGTTAGTTAGTTGACCAGACTGTCAATCAGTGGGCTGGTTAGTAAATTACGGACCGCAGGCAGGTATGAACTTATAACCATGTGGAACGAGAGCACTCCTCAGTGCAGCCCATTAGCCACCCAGCAGTTTTTTGTCACACTTTTTCAAATCAAACATCAACAATGAGTAGGATGCCTGGAAAAGCTTGGCAGGTGACTTTGAATAAAGACTTCTTATCTCCGAACATAGCTCCAATCATTGCAGTTGCAGTGAAATCTCGAGTTAAAAATTGGTTTGAGTTAGCAGGGGGTTAAAACATTTAGAGTTACGTTGTGTTCTGTCACGCGTAACTCGTTGCGTTACACTTTTTCACGTATTGTTTTGTTAAGCATTGTGGGATAGCAGGAGGCATGCTGTCAAAAAGTAGAAAACTGTAATTTTGTAGGTGCCCCGGTGAAGACGCTTTCTCGTTTCATCTTAAATGTTTATTTTCAATAAACCCGGTTACACTGCCGAAGAAGAGTTCTGAACTCGTCTATTTTTCGGCTAATGGATCAGAGCTTGATGGATCGGAACACGTTGTTTGACTGGCATCAAAAAATTCAGTTTTGATTCAGATTATATCATATACATCGGGCTCAAAGTACTGAAGGTTGAAGTCATCATGAACTATACATGCATATACACTGTATCGCATCGTAGATTTCACCCTACATCTCAAATATAAAATACGATATGTTTGATAAGATATATGTAACAAACAAAACCCAACTTCTTTAATTTGAAAGGGCTTTGTTTTTAGGCACTTTTTCGGTCAGCGATTAAAGCAAATGTAATAAGCATTTCATTTACCTTGGTTCGAGGGCAGAGAGCTAAAGCCTGGTATCAAACACTTCTTTTTCTTCTGGATGGAATACCAAAAGAGACAGAAATAGAAATTCATTACAATGATATGAATCTGTTGTTACAAGAGATTATGAATTGACTACTGCAAACACGATTCTTGCTGGTTTGTGTAGACGAATGTTTTAAAACTTGAGGTACACAACGTTAATTATAGTTGCTATTTCTATTCAAGGTATGTACAACAAAGTAGCTATGTTTTCTGTATTGGAGCAAATACCTGTGTCGCCAAAAAAATGTTGCAAAAAGTGAGACAGCTCCACATTATACACGTCAGTATTTTAAGATAGGTTTTGACCCTTCATCACAACGAAGTATAAAATTACTCTTTTATCTCTCAACTGATCTGGTCACTTCTGATGTGGATTGTGACGTTTAGACCGCATACTTCAAACCTAGAAGCAAAGTGGTGGAGTGATTATACGTCATATCTGTTGGCTAATTTAGAAGGAAAGTTACCTTCCTCTGCGAGGTCCATGTCTGGCTCAAACGCACTTTCTTCTTCAAATTCAGAAATGATGTATTCAAAAAAGTACTTTAGTACTTAATCGTTCAATATTGTCTCTCTTAAGTGTCTTAAAAAATTATTAGACCTTAACCAATTTTTCCACTAGAATTTATCCAGTGATTACCAAGTTATAAAAGATGCTTCAAGAACTCACAAAATGCCTTATCATCTTGAATAACAAATCAAAACCACAATCACCTTTACCTTTATCACTGGGCACTGGGATCTCTTCACTTGCTATTTGCTCCTCAAATTCAGCAGCTGTGTGAAAGCAAAGTTATTGATTACAATGCAGTATTTGCATAACTACAGACATTGTTCCTCCGTAGGCTGACAAATAGATGTAAATATATAAAGTGGTCTGCAGGGTGAACCCGGCCCATGGCCTGCTAATAAGCCAGCAAAATGAGCCAGTTACCTGTCAAGTTCATAACACATGTTAAACACCGTAACCAGACGTGTCGTTTCTAAAAAGCAACTCATTGTCTTTACCTTCCTCAGTTGGCTTTTTGCGTTCAGGCTTACTTTCTCCTTCTTTACCTGCAGAAGTACGATTGAAAAAGAACTTGTACTTATTGAATTATGTCCTTTTGAATACTTATAATATTGCAAAGTGAGCGAGAATTGTGGGTCGATCACAAGGGACAGCACATAACCTGAATATTTGAGAATGTTAAAATAGCGCCTTAACCTCCTATGGACTAATCAAGAATCACTCTCTCTTTCTCTTACCTTGGTCACTAGACACTGGAAACTCTTCACTCTCCATCTGATACTCAGGTTCACCAGCTGCGGGAAAGTAAAGTTCGGTTCATTACAATAAAATATTGATACCTTTAAGGTTATGAATGAGATCTCATTGAGAATTACAGTCACTGTCACTGCGGAGGCTAACACAAATGCCTTCATATAGATACAGGAGCCTTGATATACAGCCGGCTCACCGTCTGCCATCAAGCCAGAAATTTCATCCAGATAGTTGTTAAGTCAACAAACAGCTTGCCCTGTACGCTGGAATAAATGCAAGATATGTTGGACAGTGTATGTGGGGCGCTATGTCATATAATGTTGTTATGTAAATGTTATGTTATGTAATATGTGTGACATGATGAGGAAACCTGACCTCGTGAAAAGAGATGTTTTTCGAAAAATAAAGAGTACTGAATTTGCCATTCTCAAGGGGACAACGTGTACAGCTCCTAAAAAGCAATTCATCCTTTATACCTTTAGTTGGCTCCTTGAGCCTAGGCTTACTTTCCTCTTCTTGAACTGCACAAATAGATTTACAATAGATTGCATTAATCCAGTTGTCTAAATTTGATTAAATGCTTCAGAACCTTCCATCAGTTTATATACACTTTTACTGTCACATGTGTTCAAGTACAACGCTCTTTTCTTCTTTAACTTCTTAAGAAAATTATTACTCGGGCTTCCTCAGGAAAGCCCGAGTCTAAAAATGCAAGCGGTTTTGGTCGCCAAAATGGGGCTCATGGTCCCAGGCGGTCCTTGCGTAAACCGCGGAAACTGGGGATGAGAGTGCGAACCATTTGTGTTATCGTGAGCCCGCTCTTCGTAAACAACGTAATTTACAGAATGCTGTGTTTTGTGAAGACCGATTTGCAAATATTCCTGTCTTATAAGCTCATCCCACATGCAAACGCACACGCCGGTCGTGGAAGGCCCACGCTAAATGATGTCCAGTGTTTTCGGAATGGGGGC